CTATCGAACCAGGGTGGTCCCATGGCATGAGGTCGGCTCCTGCGTACGGGGGCGAATTGTTGCACCAGCAGTCTCGGATGACACACCACGACTCTTCCACGTCTTCTTTGTCAATCGGCTTCCAGTTTAACAACTGCGCTGCTGCACACATGTCATCGGACTGTATCCGCCAGACATTCCGACCCTCTGGGGGTAATTGTGAGATTGAGGTCCATCGTCTCCAGCGTACAATTAACACCACATGATCACTAATGAGATATATATATAAAGGGTCTGAGAGGAAAAAGACCAAATAGCGTAACGACAGAGGTATGGGCTGAATAAAATGGTAATGTACGTTGTTAGACAAGACGAGAGAGAGCGAGATAAAGCTAAGTAGAATACACTAATAGCTATCCTTCAAGCAAAGCACATGATGTAACCGAGACGGGAGACAAAGTTTAGGTGTAAGGATTGTGGTAAGTGGTATTGAGTAGGGGTCTGGTGGACCTAGGTTAGAATAAACGTAACTCCGCTTTGTGCTAACGAACTGATGACGCATCATGCTCGCTTTGCGTTCGCATCTATGCAATAATAATGTCTTCTAGTATCTTGCATGCGGTTGGTTTCCGTGCTGCTCAAGGGACACCCTAAGAGATTTTCGTTTTTTGGCAATGGCTCCGACAGCCCCATAAACCAGCGGCTTCAGTAAAGTAACTACAGGGAAATTACTGTCACACTCTAGAACAAAAAAGCACCACTAGACCATATTGATCATGCGGAATTCACCTGGTGCTTATCACTGAAAAGCGTGAGGCGTCCAGAGAAGTTTATCGATTGTTAGCAGCCGAATACTAACGCATGCCACTGACGAAAGAGATTTGGCAGTTGTGGTACTGGAGGACAGAGGATGCTCCACGCACTGTGCCAGAGCATCAATCATGACCATACGGCAATTTGGACTGCTCAGGCGTGTCTTCGGGGAGTTCGAAAAAGCACTGTTTCCACGCTTGCGATCAGTGTTCATTCGGCCACACACGGAGTACGCCGTTCAAGTATTAAATCCATAGTTGGACCGCGACAAGAAGGCTCTAGAAGGTCCGCAAAGGCTGACAACAAATTGGTAAAAGGTCTGTATAATAAAACATATTCCGAAAGATTGGAAATATTCGGACTCTACTCATCTCAATACCGCCGACTGCCAGGAGAGGACCTAATATTGACATATCACATTCTGCATCAACCCACCCACCCTTGCCATTCTATGCTGACTT